GTTTAAGATGGTATAAGAACTTTGTAAATGAAGAGCTCAGCCCATGTTGCCGAAGATGCGGCCATGAAAAGGAGGATACCAAACATAATAAATGTTTGAATGTCCAGGAACAATGGCAATTCGAATGGAGTTATTTGGACGAGTGGAGGTGCCGCTAAGCATATTGACAATGGAGCCGAAAAAGAGCCTTGCTCTCGCTCGAACATTTCTTCGTGAAGTCCGTCAGGCCCATTAAGGAAACAAAATCATCATCATCATCATCATCCTTTTCCCTATTCTCTTCTCGCTACTACTCCTCTTCTTTCTTAAAATCCACCTACTCCTAGTCATCTTTCTTATCATGATCATTATCGGTATCATTTGAAACCTGTTGACTAGTGTGTAAATAGGAGATCAACTCAAAAATACCTCGCAACATTAGTCTTAGCAAGAATTTTACAGCACTTGCAACACAAATAAGTCACATTTTTACAAGAGAGTAACATACAAAGAAAAGAATAAGGAGAGATAAGGACGATAGATGATTGATAGCGCAGAAGGAGTAAACTACACCGGGTTCTAAGAGCACCCTATAAACCCTCACCCTCCTACCTCGCATTGCGCTCCTCCTCCTCTCATCATAATAATATCCTGATCATCATTATTATTAGAAACCTGTTGACAGTGCGTGGTTGGCGGGCGATGGGGTAAGGATTGCTTGCCTTCTTTCCAATCAAACATCCAATGCCCATATCTGTCCTCCTTTTGTTCTTTGTATTATGTTACTCTCTAGTTACACTTTCTCTTTTGAACTTCTATGGCCTCTTTGTGTTGAAATTTTAGTGAGTGCCTTGCAAGTATTGAAACAATTCATTTACTTCTTCATAACTCAAGCCAGTGATAAAAATTGACAATGTTTAACACACAGAAAATAATTGTGTAGTTACAACCTATACTATTTTATCATGGAAACTTAGTTTAAACTATGCAAAACGTTTTTAAAGATATTGAATGTGTGACATTCATAATCTATACTGTTTCTCGGAGGTGTCTTTTGTCTCTTACTAAAACTTATAAAACTAAAACATTTTGGTTTGTAATGTCATTTAGGATTTCACTGAAAAGGGACGAATAATATACGGCTTTTACTAATTAATATAAGACTCAGGAGACTGACTCACAATGGCGTTTTTGGTTAAGTGGTTATCCTCATTGACTTGTAGTCATGAGATTGCTGGTTCATAGGCTCGGGCTTTGGCTCAGCCCAACATAGTGTCACTAGGAAAGACACTTTACACGAATACTCCCTCTTAATTTGGCTCTATCTTTTCGGAGATGAACGTTAAATTCTGATGCCCCCACCTTACAGTAAAGCAAGGGCCGATAAACCTATAATAATACAAATAATATTTATAAAAATAATGATTTCATCTATATAGCGCATATCCACACTTTAGAGCATGCTCTATGTGCATTACCCCAGTAGAAAATAGAACATTAAGAAACAATCTCGGCTATACACTTTCGCCCAGCTTTTTGCAACACCGACTCACGCATATGTACTGAGGGTTTTGAGATTGGAGGCACACGTCTCTGGCAGGACCAGCTGACCCCCCGAGATGACACCGTTGCAGAAAATTTGTCCAGCCAATTGGACAACAGCTATCCCGTCATAGTCACATGGGTTGACTGAGTTTCCATCTAGAAAACAGACACAAAATGTATAGGGATGATGGTACTAATAGTACTGATAATGATGATAATAATAATATCAATAATAATAATAATAAAAATAGTAATGTTAATAATGATAATACTAACAATGATATGATGATAATAATAATATTAACTCAACCCAGTGATACATATTATTATCTACAAAGTTATAACAAACAGAAAAACAGTTTCAGCACAACTTATATTTTTTTAAATTATGAAAACTTGTTTTAACTACCCCCCCCCCACCCCCACCCCCCAAAAAAACAACAACTCCAAAAAACCCAAATTGTTTTAAGAACATCATTGATGTTTGTCATTTAAGATATTTTATTAAGCTTTTTCTGGGAGATCTATTCTGTAAAATGCGTTATGTGATGTTGGCGTACAGCCTTAATTGTATTTCAAATGTAGGTGTGTTTATGTCTCGCATCGACACAATTTTGATCATTTAGGAGACGGGCTTCTGACCTTGCTGTCCAGGGCCAACCTGGCCTGAGAGAGATCAACACTCCTGCAGACAGACCGACACACTCAATAAAACTTCTCCCCTCTCGTGAATCGAACTTGAGTCTCTAGGTGCCATAGAGGCCTTAAACACTTAACGAAATACCCACCTACCTACCCACCTAGCCAGAAGAGGCTTATCAAGCATGTGTGTCAACAAGGACAACAGGTGATAATAAAAGACTATTGTTTTCTTTAAACTTTGCTCCCTCTAAAGTCACACAAATTAGTCGAAGCCTATAGGATAGAATGCTCGGGGAAAAAAAGGAACAAAGAGAATTACTGTAATTATGCAAGT